TTATTTATATTATATACAATTTAAATTTATTAGGAGTCGGTACATTTTTGCCAACTCCGACTCCAGTAACCCAAGAATTGCTTCCAACTCCAGCTCCACAGCCCTAATTTTGTGTCATGCCCCCATGTATGGGGTTTTATTTTACTTTCACTCCCGTTCTCGGAAGGTTGGGAGGATTTCTCTACTTTTGCACAGTGTAAATCCTATATAGTATTTTCAGTTACATTGACAATCAGGAGGCACCATGTAACTGGTTTTCTCCTTTATTGGGACTCTTCAGACATGGGTCGCCAGATATTATTCTGTGGAGTTCAAACCCTCTATTGGGAACTGACCTTACAGTCCTGGTGCTCAGTGGTTGCAGGAAAGGATATTTAGAAGTCTTAGAATGATATATAAGGTCCACCTTCTGTTAAGCTAGCAGAGCAGAGGTCCATGAGTTTACTTGCCAGGACCTGGGTAGCTCCTAAAGTTAATGCACTGCATATGGTCATCTAAAGTTCAAAGATCCGTGAATTCAATTCATGGTAGAGGGTTTGAACCCCATAGAGTAATATCTGGCTACCCATGTCTGAAGAGTCCCAATGAAGAATGAATTGGTCGCATAGTGCCTACTGGTGGTCAATGTAACTGTAAAACTCTAGAGAATATTGTCACAGAAAGATGTTGTTTCCAGACATTTTTATAGATAGTCAGGAAATCTCTCATGATAACAACCAAAGCCATCTTTACAAATTACAGATAGTCCTTACTTAATGACCACAATAGACCAGAAAAGCAGGGCAGTTGTTAAGCAAGTTGCACCCAATTTTACAACCTTTTTTGCAGTGGTCATTAAGCAAATCACCATGGTCGTTAAGCGAATCATGCAATCATTAAGCAAATCACACAGTTCCCTATTGATTTTGCTTGCTGAAAGCTGGCTGAGGTCACAAATGGCGATCACGTGGCCCCAGGATGCCGCAGATGTCATAAGCACAAGCTGGTTGCCAAGCACCCAGATCGTGATCATATGACCACAAGGGTGCTGCAACGGTTGTAAGTGTGAGGATCAGTTGTAAGTCCTTTTGTTCAGCACCTTTATAACTTTGCATGGTCACTAAATGAATGGTTGTTAAGTGAGGACTACCTGTATTTACTTAACTTACTAAAGCCAAGACAAAAGCTATGGGATGAAACGTAATCTTCATATTGTGAGTAATTAAGCAGTGAAAGATCTCATGCAACAATGGGATGTCCCTTCTCTGTAATAAACAACAAGGAATATTTGACCAGAAGGCTTCATCTAGTCAAATGTCTTAAATGAAAGGGCAGCAGTTTGGAGCAGAGTTCCTGCTACATTTATGATATCATTGCTAAATTATGTTATGTAATTTGTGAGATCCTTTTCTGTTAATGGACTCGCTGACTTATTTTCCTTTGTTTTTCTTCTTAAAGAAGCTTATGAAATCAATGCCAACATGTATTGGAACGACTTCTATAAAACCCATGAAAATGGATTTTTTAAAGACCGACACTGGTTGTTCACTGAATTTCCTGAGCTAGCTCCAAACCATCATCAAAGTCAGGCTGGCATATATAAAGAGACTGTGAAAAACATCAAAAATTCAAGTCTTGGAGGCTACCCTGACAATAAACTTTGTACAGTAGATAGTGAAGACTTAGAACATCTGGATACAGAGAGAAACAGTAATGGCAACATCACCCATCATCTGCAATCAGAAGATGAAGTGGCATCACAGAAGCTGGGGGAAAGGAAAGTAATACAAGATGGTGACTTCCCAGGGTCATCTGCTACTTACAGAATATTAGAGGTAACAACACTGTAAATCACAATTTAAGGATGACTATGCTGCGTTGAGTGCACAATCCTAATTGATTCAGCATCTTATCTATGAGGAGTGGCTACTACTACTGTATAAAGCATCAAAGAGGCATTTCATTTCAATCAAGGCAGGCCCACATAGTTAACTAAAAGCTTGGTCCAGCCAAGCCACATTAAAGTGGCTGCTCTAAAGGCCCATCTATATTCTGCACATGTGCAGAAGATACTTCAGCCAGCATTTCTAATTACTTGCCCAGCCAAAGTGAAGTTGTATGTCCATTTGATGCTTCGCTGAAGGTGTTGAGACACAATCCTTCACTTTTGAGTCAAAATGCCTTGAATTGTACCTTTAGTGTCTTTGAATGCAAAGCAACACCACTTTGCATATCCAAGTCACCATTCTATATGCCCCAGGAAGATTGATGATCAGAGAATGATGATGATGTATATCTTATGTTAGCTGTCACTAAGTAATTATTGGAGAACTCTCAGGTCAGGCTGTGGTTCTTTGTTTTCAAAGTAGTAATTACTCATAAACTTACTATATGCATTCAGTGGTGCTGCCTGTCAGCTTTGCCACATTGTTGTTTTGCATTTGAGAAGTGCAATGTGAATGAAATTAATTACATAGGAATGAGCAATTGGCAACTTTTAGACCAAAGCTGGTTCTTGAAGGAAACTGTATGACTTTTCCCAAAGAGAGTCACTTCCTTAGAGTAGTATGGTGCAGTTGTCTGTTATATTTGATTTTCAAGGGCAGTCCTTTAAAGGGAAAAAAACCTAATTGCTGACCAAAGAAATAACATATTTGTTTGTGACAACAGAAAAAGAATACAAGATACAAGCATATATAATAAAAATTATTTCCAGAAGGGTAGCCACATTAATCTCTTGAAATGAAAGTAACAAAAGTCTTTGGACATCTCAAAACTAACAACTTTATTATGGTATTATTTTTTATCATAGCAAAAACATTCACAATCTGTTCTTTTACTGGCAGGTGGGATGTGGTGCAGGAAATACAGTCTTCCCTATTCTCCAAACCAACAAGTAAGAAAAATTACAAGTAACTCTAGTTTACAAACCAGAGACATAACATTTATAAGTGCAGTGCAGTGCTATACGTGTCTGCTTAGAAGCATCACTGATTTTAGAGTCTTACTCTCAGCTATATATAAGATTGCAGCCGTATTATTCAGGATGGTTCTAGATAACATTGTGCAATAAACCTATTGAAGCACAGCTAGCCACTATGACAAAAGCGCTCTGCATGTGACTCAGTTTTTCCCCAACTTTCAGCTGCATAGATATTTTCTGACATTGTGGGATCACTTAGATGCATGATTCTTTCCACCTACATTGTGAAGTAATCCATCCCCATTTCAGGAGATTTTTCCCCAAATTCTGAGACTAATTTTCTGAAATTATGTAGAGTTTATACCTGTAGTTGCTAAAGGCTTAACACAACATTAGGAATATTAAATTTCCCTAGGAGTTGTCTTATCAGCTTCCCTAAGAGTCCACATTTGGTGTAAAGGATTTCTCATTCCATATTTTATGGGGCTCTTATGATTGTCCCTCTGAATGAGAAACCATTTTATTTGTGTTTTCCAAAATGTTTGATTCTTGGTGCACATAATTGTTTCTATTTTACGTTAAACAAAAAACATATCATGTTGAGTATGACGTATTGTTTTAATCCAAATTATGGTCTTGGGGAGTTGTATGCTGTTCAGAGTCAGTTGATTGGAGCCGTCTATAGACCCTATTACTAAATAAATAAAATTTGCCCTTGCAACAACAGCGAACATCATACCCCATCTTTGTTCTGTTTCTAGTCACTTGATTTAGTCCTGGCTAAAATTCAGTTCTGCTTGACTGGAGAATAAACTTTTGAATTGAAAGTTGACCATCCTGTTGTGCCTTACTGTCATGAAGTCTTCATTTATCTCATCTTTAGCCAATTTCTAATGGAAATCAGTCACTGCTCTTGATGCTATCTTTGGAAACCCTGTAGCAGCTTGTATCTTCTAAGTAAAAAGTGTTACTAACAAAATTTCTGTTTCATTTCAGTGATCCTGGCCTTTTTGTGTATTGTTGTGACTTCTCTACTACAGCAGTAGATCTTGTCCAGGTAATTTTAAAAAATGAAGTCATGTTTTAATTTTCTTGGCTGGCCTCCTTTATTTCTGAAAGTATGTAGTTTGTTGATCTTTATTGTCACCTAGCACAATTCTGTTGTTGAAGTCAAAAGTATAGAATTTTAAACTTTCCAGTCCATCACCACTGTAAACAAAGACAAGGACAGTGAGAAGGGTGAGCTCCATTTACTATTGTCGAATGATTCCTTCCATGGAACAAGAACTCTCCATAGAAAAGAAAAAACATCTTTTTTTAAAAAAAAGACTGCTCATTGTGAAAACAAGCAAATGTGTAAAAATGATATAACTTCATGTTAAGGTCTCCATATATGCAAAATATATGTACAATTGGACTTCTATAATGTGTGAACATTTTAAGGTAGCTTTGTTTTAAACACTTGTTCAGGGATTTGCCATAGAAATGTAGGTGGTTTTGCTCCAGCAAGTTTGATTGGGACATGGAGACAGTCCCTGGTGCAGCTATGAGGCTGCCTGGGTGAGATTTGGGCAAGTTGCTGTCTCTTAATTTATTCCACAGGTTTCTGTGAAATAAGAACTGCTATAAGAAAGATAATTGTGTGAACATACAGGCCCATCCAGAATATGATGCCTCTCGTTGCTTTGCCTTCGTTCATGACCTGACCAAGAATCAGACTCCTTTTCCAATGCCAGACGAGAGCCTTGATGTGGTAGTTCTCATCTTCGTCCTTTCATCTCTTCTTCCAGAAAAGTATGTAATACTGGTGTTATGTTGTGTTTGTCTAACAGAGAAATTTACATTTGGGGAGGGGGCAGACACAAGATGACCTGTTCCAAAATGAATTTTGCAGTGAGCCTCAGTAGTTGTTGAATCTTTTCTCTTTTTCTTTTTCTCAGAATGCAGTGTGTAATCAATAGACTTAGCCGGCTTCTAAGACCTGGTGGAATTATTTTATTACGAGATTATGGCCGTTTTGATTTAGCCCAACTTCGCTTTAAGAAAGGTAGGGTGAGGACAAGGCTTTAGTATTTAAAAACTGTAATCACTCTGCATCTCGTTAAAAGAAGCCATTTTCATGAAACTAGACACCAAAGTGGTTTGAGTAGGTGCAGGACTGAATGTGTGTGTTCTGTTCCATTAACAAAAGCAGCATAAAAAGCAGTTTCTCCAGAAGGATATTATTATATATGAATGAATAACGACTTTTTCTGGGCTTCTGATATCAGTGGCTTCCAGCCTAAGGTTTGTGCACCAATGGTAATTCATGATGATATTGCAAGTAGTAATGATGTGAGCACTATTTTTTTTAAAAAAAGGATTAAATCCTATAATCATCAGATCTAATGAAATCTGGTGTTCTTTTTCAACATTTCATGGGATTTCAGGTGAGTACCCTGAAATCTTGTGATATTCCATGATGTGAAATTTCACAATTTTTTTAAAAAATAATTTTTTAATTTAGAGGTTCCATAAATGTCATTATGGAAGTCTTATGTGCAGATGTAACCACAGGCACTACACTGCCACGCCCTAACTTGTGTAATATCCGCAAAAATTTTAGATAATGATTTAGTGATTCACATAAAGGAAACATCAAAAGTCTATGTCTTAGTTGATGAAAATTGTCTTTTCTTGTTCTTTTGTGGGCTAACACTTTCAGCTCTTAACCAGGAATTGTTGCCATGCAAGGAAGTGGTAATTTTGCACCAAATCATATGCAGGTTTATTCATGTTATATCTTTGGCAATAGGTATATTAGAGTACTTTTGACAATGGTGTGGAAAAGTGAGGAATTAGGGACACTTGCTTAATGCTTTAATATTTTCAATGTTCAACAGACTCTACACAAGCACGTCTGAGGGTAAAGAAATCAGGGATCAAGTTGTAGATTGTATGAGCTCTTTTTCAGCCAAAGACTACTGTCTGGTTATTGCTGCTAGATTTCTGCATCTGGTTCCTGAATTAAGGAATGTTTCAGCAACAGCTGAATTGCAAAACCAGCATTCAAAATACCTATGTACTTAAATGAAGAAAAAACTATTGTCTTTGCTGAAGTTTTTTGGCAGTGAATTGATTTTTACCGCCTTCACCTTTTATGGG